TTTTTGAGAGTGTGATGTTCTGTCTCTCAGTTGTGATGTTTCTATTTATCAGAGTTTGTCCCGTTTCAGCTATTTCTGGATCGTTGTTTTCTAGCGGATCATACACGGCTCGTGATACTGAAGAGGTCTTATCCTCTCATTTTTAGTGGTAGTGCAAAAAGGCTGCGGTCTTCATCGGTTTTATGCTTTTTACCAGTAATACTAGGAAGTAGCTGCTGTCTAACGTTTTTCTCAAATTCACCCATTTCCTTAAATGCTTCCGGAGTTATTCTGGTTAGAAAGCTTAATTTCTTTTGAACTCTTTTTATGTAGCAAGAGTACGCATTTTGTGATGTTTCAGCTATTTTGGAAAGCTTTTTTTGTTAGGGTAGTTGTCTTTTCAATTTCGATTTCCATGTATTTATCGCATGCTGATGATGTTCCGATAACCGATCACAGAACAAAGTGTCAATTTATCAGAGTTTATTCCGCTAAGACATGGGGGTTGTTCCGTTGAGATATGTTTTTCTCAGATTATCAATTTGAGAAAAACACGTCCAGTAATACAATCGCCGGCGTGAAATACTTGTACAATAATCTTTATCGAGTGGTAACTGCGCCGACACAATTAGGATACACTCCCGTTGAGCCAAAAACAAAACTAGGGGAGACTCCCGTTAAACCGAAACCTTTTAGGTCGTCTCAAGCAGAAAAATGGAAATATAGGATATCAGGGCTAGTAAAACAAAACAACTTGCAAACAGATTGATTTACATCACAACTATTTTACAGCCAACAGACAGTTGGAAAACAATCAATGAATGCAAGAAAAAACAATGAATTTCAAAAAAAAAGTATATGTCTCATTCAATTTGAAAAACAGTTTATGAAGGATACTTTTTTTTTGAAAAACTTCAACAAATTTGAGAAAACTGGATAAATAGGCAATTTTTTCTTCCGCTGGGAAATCTGGGGAAAACAAACACCACTTAAGAAACTATAGTCGATCACGTTTTTTGTGACCCTCACTTTTTCGCTGTTCGATAGTGCAGTTTACCTTCCTTTTAAAAAGGAAACGAGCTGACCTTAAGAAAATCAAAAGACAAACCGCGAAAAAGTAACTTGAACCTGAACAACTTTAAAACTTTTTCTGAAAAAAGACAAAAATGATCAGCACCTATATAATATTTTGATTTATGTCATCGACTCTTATGCAAACAAAAGCACTAATACCTATATAAAAAACTTTACTACGTATATCGACTCTGAAAACTACGGCAAATTGATGAGGCAAATGAACAGATAATTTATGATCAGACAAACGATTCGCAGAAAAATTTTTAGAAGGGAAAGTTTGTAAAAAAAAACTGATTCCGCCCTGATTTGAGCATAGCACCTTGGCCGTCCGTAGCCGTTATCTCTATTTCAAAATTGCCATAAGCAACGAAATTTTACTTTGTTTGAACCCAGCTATCAAGTGATGCTGTTAAATTATTTCATAAGTTGCAAAAATCTATAATCCGGTTTGATAAACCTGGCTGATAGCAAGCTCTAAGAATTTTTCAAGAAAAAAGTTAATCTCTTTCCATTGACAGAAAATAAGTGAGAAAATTATAAGCTCAGCAATAAAAAAAAACTATGTTGATTATTGAAACTTGCTGGCGTATCCGGTTGTGATGTGCCGAGCAACCATATGACTGCGATTTCAAATCGCACGTGAGCTTCAATTTGCAATGTGAGCGCTAGCCATAGCTCAAAGGGTTCATCATGATTAAGTGAGCTCTACTTCAACCCTAAATAAATACTAGCGCATGACTCGCAACCCTAGAGCAGTCAAATTTAAGGGGCAGATTTGCAACGCCAAGTGTGTGACGCCACATCTCGGAAACCAAAAAATTTTGAGCAGTCACAATTGGAGAATGAACTGCAACCCCTGAGTGTACCCTGACTCCACCCCACCATAGGGTTGAGAATTTCAACTTCCATTAATTTTTTTTATATCAAAGTTTTTTGACAATCAATAAACCCAAGAAATCATAAAACGCCATACTCGAAAACCAAAAATATTTGAGCAGACATACTGGGAGTCCAGATTTGCAACCCTTGAATTTAAACTGATAGCACCCCACTATAGGGCTGAGAAACTCAAGTTCGATTAGTTGTTTTTTATATCTAAGTTTTTGAAAAAAAAAATCATTAAAAACGCCATATCTAGAAAACCATAGGGAAATGAGCAACCATTTTTGAATGCTAGATGTTCAGCTTTTGAGTGTACCCTGATTGCACCCCACCATAGGAATCAGAATTTCAAATTCTATAATTTTTTTTAATATCTGAGTTAATTGAAAAAAAAATGAAATATATTTAAAAAACACCATACCTCTTAAAACAAAAGATTTGAGCAGTCAAACTTGAACTCTAGATTTTCAGCTCTTTTAGTGTACCCTGATTGCACCCCACCATAGGGTTGAGAAACTCAAGTTCGGTAATTTTTTTTTAAATCTAAGTTTCTTGAAAAAAAAAAATTAAAAAATCATTAAAACGCCATATCTCGAAAACCATAGGGATGTGAGCAGTCAAACTTGAACGCTAGATTCCCAGCTCTTGAGTGTACCCTGGTAGCACCCCACAATAGAAATGAGTATTTCAAGTTCCATTAATTTTTTTATATCTAAGTTATTTGAAAAAAAAATCATAAAAAACGCTATATCCCGAAAACCAAAAGGATTTGAGCCGTCATACTTGAAAGCCATACTTGCCACTCCTGGGTGCACCCTGGCAGCACCCCACTACAGAATTGAGAATTTCAAGTTCGGTTAGTTTTTTTATATCTAAGTTTCTTGAAAAAAAAATGAAAAAATCAAAGAATATCTCGAAAAGCAGAAGAATGTGAGCCGTCAAACTGGGACGCTAGATTTGCAAGCCCTGAGTGTATCCTGATAGCTTTCCACTATAGGATTGAGAAAATTAAGTTCGGTTAGTTTTTTATATCCGAACTTTTTGAAAAAACAAATGAAAAAAAGATTTAAAAAACGCTATATCTCGAAAGCCATACAGATTTGAGCAGTCATACTTGGACGCTAAGTTTGCAATCCCTGAGTGTACCCTAGTAGCTTCCCACTCTAGGGTTGAGAACTTCACGTTCGGTTAGTTTTTTATATCTAAATTTTTTGAAAAAAAAAAAGAAAAAATCATAAAAAAACGCCATATCTCCAAAACCAAAAGGATTTGAGCCGTTATGTTTAGACGCTAGATTTGCAGCACTTGAATAGTCTCTGATAGCACCCCACTATAGGATTGTGAAATTCAAAGTTACTTAAGTAAATTGTGAAACAAAAACTTTGAGAGTTTTACATTAAAAATAAAGGAAAAAATGTAAGAGTTAAAGCATTCGAGCTCCAACAGATTTTGAAACGCTGCCTTTTAACAGACCAACATAGGGACTTCTTAAACCTGTGCTAAATGAAATTTCTTCAGCGTTTTAATAAACGATATAGCTTAAACCTGCAAAAAACTCTTTCGTTAAACATGCAAAAAATAATACGTTGAAAAAGTTTAAACATGCAAACATAGAGTTCTCTTAAACATGTCAACATAGGGACCTCTTTAACATGTGTCCTATGAAACGCCAACTAAATAATAGATAGATTTTACCCGAGGTTTTTCGTGACCGTTCTACTGTTGCTGTTCGATAGTGGAGTTTGCCTAGAAATCACTTAAAATTAGTCTTAAATTTAATATATCAGCAACTGTGGAAATACAGCTGAGTGAAATACTTCATAAAAGACAAGTCATTTTGTTGATCGAAAAACCATTTCAAGAAACATTTGGAAACCAAAAGATAGGCTTGAAACAAAGCTATTATATAATAATAGATCAATAAAACCCAACACAAAGTAATACAGCAAACAGTAAAAAAAACAATTGAAAATATTCTATTCAATCATCAAAAGAGCTGTGACAGATTTCGTCCCATGACAGATCTCGTCCCATTTTAATTTCAACAGATTTCGTCCTATTTCAAAGCGTACACAAATTCGTCTTACAAATTTGGATATGGGATGATAGGATGTTGGATATGGGACGAAATCTGTATGGGACGAAATCGTTAATTAAATAATAGGAAGAAATCTGTAAAAGGACGAAACCTGTGCCAATCGTCAAATCTTGTTGATGAGTATTTAACTCGGGAGTGGATCTTTACTGCTGTTTATGATTAGTCCCAGCAAAATCCCAACTAGAAGAAAAAAGACGTTGCACGGATGTTTCTCTCAGCCACGTTGATTTCAGGAAAAAAGCTAGAGCAACAAAATTGCAAGAGGAGCTGCATTTGCACATAAAAGAAGAAAAAAGGAAAATAGACCTCTAAAAGGAAAAAAAATTGCTGTACATTTACTGTAAAAAAAGCTACATAACGGTATTCAAACTAGTTTGAAGTACTTCCACGCAAGCTTTATTCATAGATATCAGGCAGGAAAGACTGTGCTTGCTTTGCTATAGCTAGATCATACGTAAATTTGCTATAGCGAAATTAACCTGTAAGCTTTGCCCTAAAAGGAGGGTGATGTCTTTGGGTACGAAAAAGTAGATTGACCGTATAAAATTGCACACGCGAGCTCGCTTGTGTAATGAAACCAATGACATGGCATCAAACTTTCCCTGATAATTAATTGTAAGGTAAAGTTGCTCAATTTTTTTTAATGTTCATTAGTTGTTTCGAAAAAAAATCACAAGTGAATTGAAAACGCTGTTGCTGATCCTTGTTGTCCAATTAGTTCACTCAAACTTTTTCAGATAAATCGATTTTATGCCATTCACCGTAAGAACTTTGCAGTAATCTTAGTAATGGATCAAAACATTTGTAATGGATTCACATTTAGAAGCTTAAAATTTTAGATATGGAAGGCAGAAAAATTAGTGCAATAATTGAAGTGTTGTCCTTAGTTTAAAATAAACACATAAGACCATACAATGCAAATCAGACAGAGGGATAGTTAAGCATAACTGTCAAACATGTCTACCTGAGAAAGCGAAACGAGCACCTGAAATGCAAATTCACACATGCAGTAATGCAAAATGACACACGCAACCCAATGAATCGAAATCTATGGTCAAAAATATCGTTAAAAGCGAATCTAACCTATCCGGGGATAAGCTAACGTTACATTCCAGTCAATTCGAAAATGAAAAGTGCGATAATGCAGTTCCGTTCACCAGCAGATGGGGGGGTTGGTGGGGGTAGGGCGGACGTTTTCCTTAGGAATTCGACTCCCTGCCGACCCAAAGGGTCCCCGTCCACTTTGTACTAAATTGTGACATTCATTTTCGGCTGACGGACCCTAATTATTTTAAAAGTGCCTTTGGCGCCTAAATTTATTAAATTTAAGGTGGAAGCGCGAAAAGTTGGCCTTCGTTGGCCTTTTTTTTTTTACAAAGTTTGGATAAAACGGTTTTTTTCGTGCTTAGCCAACCTAAAAACAAGATCGACAAAATTGTTGATAAAGGGTTTTATTTTGTCTACTTCGCTTTGCTTTCTCTGCGATGCCAAGCTCAATTTATGAGCTAGCTGTGGCTGTACAGCTAATAAAGGCGTTTTTTAAAGTGAAGGCGTTTTTTAAAGTGTGCAAAAAACGCCTTCGTTGGCCTTTTTTTTTTTTTACAAAGTTTGGATAAAACGTTTTTTTTCGTGCTTAGCCAACCTAAAAACAAGATCGACAAAATTGTAGACAATTAATTGAACCCCCCCCCCCCCCCTAGTGAAAATCCTAGATCCGGCTGTGGTTGGGTTACATTCATAATCGGTGATATATTACAATAGGTGGTAGGTCCAATTTCAATAGCTGGATCGCTTTTTGTTATACTTCACTCATTATTTAAAAATTAATTCAAAAGCCAAATTTTTAGGCAAAAGAAGTGTAAAAAGAGAATTTTTGAATAGCATTTCATTTGGCAGAGAAATTCATTTACAAAAACTATCTTAGTGTTAAAACAAGCGATTCAAGATGAAATGACTATATTATGCATTATAGATCTCAAATTTATTACTTGCCCTATAGTCAAAATTACCACCTATTGTAATATATGACCTCATAATCATCAAAAGCACTCATTTGGAAACTATCTGGTTGAACAGTTCGTAAGTTAAAAAAAAATTGCGAAATCCCAAAAACTTAACTCCAACTCGAAATGCAGAAGACGAACTTACCGGATGTCTTAGGATATGGGATATTCTTCCAGTCCTGGTCCCTCTGTTGTCCCCCAAGACTCTTCGTGAACAAGCTGCATGCAGACATTACTGCGTCCGCAATCAACACTCCCAGATTTTGAGAATTATATTCGAAATCTTCAATCTTCAGCAAATCTTTTTCCGATTTGAACACTTTGATTATGTTGTCTTTTATAAAGGGTTTTATTTTGTCTACTTCGCTTTGCTTTCTCTGCGATGCCAAGCTCAATTTATGAGCTAGCTGTGGCTGTACAGGTTCGAAGTCGCAATCTATCTCATTATTTATATCTATTGACAGCGAAAAGGCGACAGAATAGGAGAGACAGCTTTGGACTGTCACTAGAATTGATCGGTTGCTTTTCCGACATTCAAGGAACAGTTTTATCCTGCCATTCGGCGATTGGTACGTGTGGTAATCGGAACAATGCAAGAAACCCTCGCTGTCCTTTCTCTCGTCTTGAAGAGTCGGGGATATCTAAAGAGGTTTATTTGACAACTTATTACCAGGGATGAATTGTCTTTGATGATGGGGGAGGGTATTTCATATTACAACCTCTGGGCACCAAACAGAACCAATGTCACAAAAAATCCAATTTTAAAGGAATTGTGTACTCGATGTGAACAGGCTATAAAGTCTTACTTTACCGTAACGTAACTTCTACTACAAAGCAATTCTTTCCCAAGCTGAGATCTTTTAAAGCTTCGGGAGAGATTGGAAAATTAGCTTTGCTGACTTTAAAAAGGTAATGTTGAAATGTTTTTTTGGAAACCATATCAACCATGTGGTGACTATGGTTTTTCAGAATAAGCAAAAAAAGTTCCGGAAGCAGATTTAAAAAGTGCTACGCAAACAATAGTCCAACCGGTAGGTTTTCACTGAAGCGCTTATCCTTTCTGAACGACAGATCCATCGAACTCGCCTTTCCAGCAGCAGTATTCACAGGTGAAGAGCTGCTAATTGAAGACCCGTCGCCATACAAGCTAGGTGGAATAATCGCAGTGGCTGGAATCCCCACATTGTTAACATAACCATCTTCAGGCATTTTTATGTCATCGTCAAAAACAAGTTCATCGCCATCGAACCCATTTCGTGCATTCACATTTAGAGAGTCCAGTAAATCTCTGGATGGTGTCCAACACCTGACTTTTTTGTCCGAGCTGAAACTAAATAGTTGATACTTTTGTTGATGTGAGATCCACTCGAAATCAACAATTTTCCCAGATTCCGCGTCAAACTTTTGCAAAGCGTACTGATCAACATCTTCATAACTGTAGAGTCTGATCACATTTTCGTATTTATCGCAAGTTGTGAACGTTCTAGCGAAAGGGGTGAATTTGGCCTTCATAACTGGGTTTTTATCGAATACTAATTTAGGCTCGACAGCGTGAGCAGAGTTCATTTTCTTAGCCAGTCTGAGTGCCTCACTGAACGACTCAGATTGAGGTTGAGCCACTGATGCTACTGTATAGTTCTCACAAGATAGATGGGAGGTGAGGTCGATTATTTTGACAGAGAAGTCTTCGTTTCCTGACACAAGAATCGTGTTCTCAAGAGAAGACCAATTGAGAATATGTATGCTGGTCGTTTGAACTGCTGTCAATTCCTGCAAACGCGTAAAATATTCATGTCATACATTTTGTTTGCATTTGCTTTCTAACTGATATACAATAAACAGGAGTACATCTAGGATCCCCTTTCACCCGCCTCTGACATATATCAAAATTTCACAATCCTGAAAGCTTGCGAGACAAAAGATAACGAGAAGCGATTTTTTAGGAACCCATTTGACCACTTTTCAAATAGATACTAAATTTTCGACTCGAATAAAAAACCAAACGTAACATAATTTTCTACATAAATTGAACACTCACAAACAGGTGTTGGTTTAGATTTCTGAAGTCCCACAGTTTTATATCATTGCCCTGGGCAGCTGCCAGCACATTTGAGTCCAGGCGACACCACTTCAGCTGGGAGACACCTGCCAATGTCCCTGGAAGTCCCTTCACCTGGACTACCTTGTCTCCTCTGACATCCCAGAAACCGATCTCGTTTCTGGACCCCGTTGCAAACAGATTCCGGTTGCTGTAGTTCCAATCTATGTCGTTTATGTATCGGTTGTGTGCATTTTTGTTGCAGTAGATTAGATCTAAACTGCTGTCGGTTATCTGGTAGAGATCTACACCCAGATTGGCCGTGATCAGAAACTGGTTAAAATTGAGGGGGTTGAATTTCGCAATAGACACCTAAAGAGAAATAATGCAAATTTCATTAATTTCATTTGAACAACTTAAAAGATGAATCAAAATCCATTTAAGACCGAAACACAACACAATTTTGATTTATAAGAACTAAAACTAAATGCTGAAATCTCTAACTAAATACACTTGCGCGAAAGTTTCGTCAATTTCGAAGGGAATATCATAGGATATGTATATTCATTCAGTGCATCAATTTTGATTGCAAATATAACTTCAATCGAAAGAAGATCTCACGTCGAAACTGAGATGTTTCCTGGGAAAGGATTGTGTGGCATTCTGTCCGTCTAGCAGATTTTGCAGACAGATGACACTCTTGCAAGCCACCAGTGCCTTAGACCCGTCCGGGCACACACAGAACGCAGCTGCAGTATGTGGGGGCACCTGAAAAGAACAATTTGATAATTTTATTTTTTTCCAGGGCTGCGAAATGTTTCCCTGCCCCCTAGCTAACAAGAATCTCGAAAGTTAACGACTATTTTACGCCCAAACCAATTTAATCAAAAACTCCTATGTTCAGATCAGGTAATGTATATAACGTTTACCTTCGGAATGGGGATTGTGTAGTCTGGCAGTAGTTGGTTTGTGAGGTTGGATGATCTAGACACTCTACCTCGGTAGTTGGTGGGAGTGGACAGATGGGGGTTGGGAGTTAGCAACATTTTTGGAAAGACTGCGATCACAGCATTTTGAGCAGCTATCGTCTTCTAGAGACGATGCATATTGTTCTGAAAGTTAATCAAGTAATAGAGCTATTTAAGAAGGTAACTGAACCTTATGGCGAGCTTAATTTTTGAAATAACTCAGAAAAACTCACTTAAATAATGTTGCAACTTACTTAGAAAAAAAAACGAAAATTTTTTCCAAACATTTTTTTCCAAACATTTCAAATAATCTATCGAATCTTTGAAGAACATACATTTCTCTGTTAGGCTTTCTCTCTGTTAGAACTTTTCTCGAACATTTCTGTCAGTTAGAACTTTTCTGCGAGCCTTTCAAACATCCTTTTCCTGAGCTGAAGTAACACACCCTGCCACCGTTACGAATTTTTTGAGCTGCAAGCCTTACACCGATATGCAACTTCAAATAAAGCAAACAGACACTTTAAAAGGGTGAACTAACTCTCGAATTTCATACAGCAATAACATAAACAGAACTTCATTAACATAGAAGTTACATCATCTTGAATTTCTCCGAATTTCTTTATGATTGGCTCTTCGAAAAAACTGCATAAAAACTGCCCGATTACTTTCCCGTGGCAAATCTAAAAATTGAGATACAACTGCTAATATATCGCGTTGCATTTTTGGGACAGTTTCACTTGTTATTGGTGAGCTCAACTTTCCTTCCATTTGTTAAACGAAATCGAATTAAACTTAACACACAAAAGCCGAGCGAAGCTTCGCACAACTTGGGATGCAGAAACAGTACAAACATCAAAAAAAAATTCAAGGAAACCAAAACCCAAAAATTGTTTGTATTAAATAAAGCCATAAAAACTAGCCTATCTTCACTTTCAAATCTGAAAACTTCGATAAAAAGAAGAAGACAGACTTTAAAGAAAAGCAGAGTCCATGAAAACCAATGAGATAAATAAAAACTTGTGAGAAGGGGAAATCAAGAATGAAAATGATAACGCAATCCATAGGCTTGAGCCGCAGACAAAATCAATTAGCTAGACTCATGCGACACTTGCCATACATCTTACGCATAACCTTGCAAGCTAGAAAATAAGACGAAATACACTGGTCGAAAATGAATTTGAAAAACTACATCACCAAAATGTGTACAAAAAATTCGTGTGATTATATTGACTGATGTTCGTTTGCACGTTTGCAGGAAAACACAGTCGCAAAACAATATCATCATCATTAACTCAGCATTTTGTATTGTTTTCCGAGCAGCCACCGAGTCAAACATTTTTTGGGAAGAAAACAGCTCAGCCGGAAAAAAAATCCGTCATGAACATCGCCAACATATTGTTGGTAAAAAAGTCGAGGGAACCAAAAATAGAACTCATTTATTTTCAGAGAAAAGTCCAACTTTCGAAATCAAAGAATAAAATAGATGCTTTAAGCTCTTAAATTTCAAGAACATTTTTTGATTGACACTTTTTTGGACAAATAGCCCAATTTGAGAAAAAAGGATCAATCGTATATTTTTTCTTTTCTCGAAAAAATTACAAGCGACAACAAATTAGAAATTAGATGACTGGAACTCTAGAGCTGAATAAGGATATTAATAAAAAGGTGAACAGAACAGACATAAGATTGCAAGGAAAATGCAATAACCGAAATAGTCGAACACTTAGGGTGCGATAAAAATGAAATAATGTCCTTTCAAAGATTTAGAAATTTTGACTTTCTTCAATTACAAAAAAGATCGAACTAGCCGCCAATACAATGCTTTTGAGAGAGCTCACCAATTGACGAATTTCATGAACCACTCTGAAAATCCTTGAAAAGTATATCTCAGAAAATGATTGAACAAGGAAGAAAACAAGATCGTCAAAACTACACAAGAAATGATGAATTCTGAAGCATCTCAAGACAAACTTAAAATAAAAACTTCTACCTTTTTTATGATAGGAAGAAAGTAGACCTGGAAACTTGTCTAAATTCATTCAGTCTATGAGATCAAACTATTACAACTTAACACCAGAAACATTTGGAGATTAAGTCGCCGGAAAGCCTCATCAAACTTCACGAATAAGAAAAGTTTTGATATTTTATGTTTATGGGAAACTCGGTTAACGAACAACTTTGCGGACGAAGAATTGTTTTCAAGTTCCTTTAATTTAATTAGATCAGAAATAATTGCAAAAATAGGCTAATCAGCTCATGTAGTTTGCCTTACAGCTGTTAGTAAAAGCAAAAACACCTTTTCAATCGAGACACCGCTAGAGTTAAAAGGCCTTTTCTGTGCTTGTACAGTTTATTTTGAGGCGAGAAAACTACTACAAACTACTAATTCCTTTATTGTCCCTTTTTCCTATTGTGGCGGGATTGGACATTCGGAAAGTGCGGAAGCAATGGTTCAGATGAGTAGAATTCAAGCTATTTGATGGAGCATAACACGTTTTTCAATGCCATTCGATCAAGGCAGTGGATTTGAGGCCTTAAGTATTCAGGTCTCGTTTGACTCAATCGATCCAGTGTTTTTCATACCTGCCTGTTGGTTTTTGCCCTGGGAGTGACACATGGTCTGTTGATTTAAGCGCATGGTCATTTTTTCTTCGTTGAAGACCAATGCATTCCAAGATCAGAGCACACAGATCAATGCATTCAAGGCGAACCGTTAATCGGACCAATCTCTCTCCTTGGATAAAATCTTGGACCTCAAATCTAACTAAATCGGTTCAAAACGGCAAGAAAAAAATCACAACTAGCTTTTCTTGAATTGGAAGTAAAAAATTTTAATCAGAGAACAAAGAGACTTTTGAAGAAATCTTGGCATCTGTAAGAAACACTGACGCTTTTTAAATTTATGTATGATCATCTTGTATGACTATTTATACTTTATCAGACTTTACAAATCAGAGAGCTCCACTCTGCGCGTTGGAAATACAAACCTGACAGCTACTGCAAAAAGATCTTCGGTTGATGCATAATAGGAATCTAACCTGGGTTGATCATTTTAAACAAAAATTATCAAGGTTTCAAGGTGTTTTCTATGGCAGAGCGAAATTCTGAGGCAATTTCATTCCGCTTATAACTCACTCTGCACGAAAGTATGATTTTACCAGTGTCAGTTTATTCATCGATAGCTGCTTTTAACCATCGATAGCTGCTTCTAAACGTCGAATCTAGAAGTCTCAGAAACGGTCCAAAAATGCGCATGCAAATGGATATTGAATGAGCATGACTACAAGAAATCACTTCGCCTAAATCTACGTCCACTTCCAATGTTTCTTTGCTGTTCTTTTCAAAGCTAATGAATCAAACCAGAAACTTTTACTTCGAAAGTAACCTTGGTAACCCTTCATGATCTGCAATGCTAGCAGTGGAGTTCCTCAGGGGCCTAATTTGTCACCCTTTTTAACTAAAATTTTCAAAAATGATCTGCCTGATTAAGCCAAAAATTCGCTGCCTATTTGATTCACAGATGATCCCAAGTTCTTGAGCTTACAAAAATTAAAAACGCTTCAACCCACGTTCGATGAAATTTTCAACGACTCAGGAAAATAGAATGTTTTAATGTAGACAAACATATCTTGTTAAATTTAACAAATCAGAGAGCTCCACTTTGAGCTTTGGAAATGAATACCTGACAACTGTTGACTCTCACAAAGATCTTGGATTGATTATTATTAGGAAGCTAAATTGGGTCAATCATTTTATGCAAAGTCATCCAGATGTTTTCTTTGATGAAGCGAAACTCTCCCACAATTTCATTCCGTTGAAAGCTCAATTTGCACAAAAATATGATTTCACCAAGATCAATTTATTCATCAGTAGCTGCTTCTCTGAATATCGATTCTATGAGAGTCTAGAATCGGCCCCAAAACGGGTATGCAAATAGATATTGAATGAGCATGACTAGAAGAAATCCCTTCTTCAGTTGAATTTACTTCCAATTCCATTTTTCTAGAGAAAATCGAGTATTTGACTGTCCACGTCCAAGTTTGGCAATTGCTGAACGAAACCTCTGATTAAGAGTACAAAGCCCAGCAAAGCAACTGCCTTATTGGATGGATATTCGGGATCTAAAACTCCTGAAAGAAAATTTTATTAGATGGATAAAGAACTATTTTGAAAAATTTTACAATGAGTCAAATACTAGCACGTGGCGGATGAAATGTGACTTTGCTGCGAAAATGTAGACTTCTAAAAAAATATTGAATAAAGAAAAAATGGGGAATAACCCTTGAGATTTAAGATTCCTGGGCAATCACGTTACTACTATACCAACTAGAGGCTAGCTAAAGCTGGAAATACCTGTTTGATACCTTTTAAATTTTTTGTTCTGATGCGAAAGGAAAGGGTAATTTCAAAAGTATACCTTTAACAATAAATAGATCCCCATTTAATGACTTTAAAATCTGTTAATTTCATCATTTACTTCATTTTTCGTAATTTTTGAAATAATTAACAGAACTTGTTAGGTTGAAAGATGCTTAAAACGTTGCTCATTAGATTTGGGTGCGTAGTTTTCGAGAAAAGTCAGTTTTAAAAAACCAAAAAAATAACTTGTGAGAAAAATTTATGCATCGGAGCTTCCTACAACCCGTTCTACTCGTTGGAACCAAAACCTTAGATTTGAGAGGACAGTTTTCGTTTAAGTTTCAAAAAAACGATCAAAAAAATCGAAATTTTGACTTTTCCGAGGGCCATAACTTTTTGTGTTAAAATATTTGGGCGTAATCGCTTCTGCAGGGGAGCTCCCCACAACCCGTCCTTTCGACTGAAATTAAAATCTCAGATTTACTAGTGAAGTTTTCGAGCAAATGTAAAAAACCAAAAACATGGGTGAAATTTTCGAAGCCTGTAGAAAATGAGGTAAGGTCGAAAGAGATTAGTGGAGTATGCAGACACACAAGGGATTGGGCGGACTTCCCATTGGTACTTTTTTTTGAAAATCGGTATAGATTAGTTTTTGAGAAAAGCTAAATTTTTGAAAAAAAGTGAAACATTTTTCCAAAGCGTCTCAAAAAAACTGATCCCATACATTTTCATAATACCTGTTTTTATCAAATAGGAATTGAGAAGTCACATCGAAAGTGTT